AAGAGGCCCCTCCTTGATGTACCTATCAATAAGTTTCTCCATAGTCTTAAGAAGAAAAGAAGTAAGACTTATTGGTCTGTAGGATTTTGCTTCATAATAGTTAGTGCGGTTAGGTTTGGGTATAAACACTACCCTAACCTTACGCCAGCTTTCTGGTTGATAACCATAGGCAAGGCATGCCCTAAATATTTTGCAGAGATGGGGGACGATTATCTCTAACCCTTCTTGCAGAAGTGCAGGGAAAATTTCGTCACAGCCTGCAGCTTTAAAACTGCCAAAGGCTTTTATTGCCCATCTTATTCCACTTGGGGTTATCACTTTCCTGGTTAGTCTCCAATCAGCACAGGTCACACGTTTGTCCTGTGCATCATGTTCCTGTTCTCTGTTGTTAATTGCAGAGTCAGGAAAATGTGTGTTCATCAAATGTGATAATGTTTCATTATCATTATTGGTGAACATTCCGTCTGGCAGTAGTATTGCCTCGACAGTTTTGTTTGGTCCATTCCTTAATGATCGCAGAAGTCTAGTTGCTATAGGGAGTTGTTGTATATCCCCACAGAACTTCTTCCAGCTTTCTCTTTTGGACTTTTTCAATGCAGATTTGTAGTTCCTTTGGGCGTCCTTATAGGATTCCCAGTGTTGTTCCAAACCTGATTTCATTGCTTTATTTAAGAGCTTACGTGAACTCTTTCTTAATTTAGACAGGTTAGCATTCCACCAAGCTACACCCTGCCCTGTACATTTCCTTTCTATTAAAGGACAGTTTTCTATGTAAGCCGAGACAATGGAGTCCTGTAGCATATTTACAGCCCTTTCAGTACTCTGTCTCGACCCCAATCTAAACTGTAGGTTAATCAGGCCACGAGAGAGATCTGCCCTGTATTTGTCCCAGTTTGTTCTTTTCGGGTTCCTATAGTACTCCGTCTCAACTTTGTTAATTTCTGATATAATATAATAGTGCCTATGATCAGAAAGAGAAGGTTCGGAGGACACTTTCCACCCTTTTATCTTTTGAAGTAACCCTTTTGAACAAACTGTTAGATCAATGACTTCCTGCCTGTTCCTGATAACAAAAGTAGGTTCACTACCTCTGTTCAGTATACTTAGGTCTGTAGTCAGCAATAGATCCATTATAACCTCTCCTCTTTGGTTGATGTTACTGCTCCCCCAAATAGTNTCATGTTACTGCTTCCCCAAATAGTGTGGTATGCATTAGCTTCCATACCTAGGATTAGTTCTAATTTTTCATTTTTGCAATAATTAAAGAGCATAGTTAGGTCCCTACCTGGGTCTGTGACTTCATATGGTAAGTATCCTGAAGCTACTATAATGTTTTTACCATCATTTAGTGTTACTCTAATAATAGTCAAATCTGCACTTGATAGATTAAGTATCAGGCTAGCTTTAACTTTATTATTAACCAAAATGCAAGTTCTTGGTTTATCTGCTTGTTTATGAAACAGTTTAAAATCCCTTAGATTTAGCCCCTTAATCTGGTCCCCATTTATCCATGGTTCCTGAATAAGTGCTATTTGTAAGGATATTGTATGCCTCTCAGTTAGGGTCCTTAGTAATACACTACTGGTCCCTTTACTGTGATGCAGGTTTATTTGCGTGAATTGAATTCTATTGTCAGTCATTCAGAAAAACTGATGTTGACGCTTAAGAAAGCACGCTGTACTGGGTGTGATACACGTGTCTGAAACAGTCCCTGTGTCACACAGCCCCCCCTGTGGGTGGTGTCCCACCGCCGTCCCCAGGTAGCGACCGTGCCTTGGGTTCGCTCTCCACATTTCCTTTTGGATCCGTGGAGAGGTTCCCCTCAGCTGTGGCCGTTATTGAGGGTGGCGGTTTCCTGGGTCCCTTTCCCTTACGTAACACACTTCCTCCCTTCCCTTTCGAGGCAGGAGTAAAGTGTGTCCGTTTGCCCCTTACCTGTGCCTTACCTCCTTTCCCGAGTGGCACTGGTGATTCCTCAGCCTTCCTCTTCCCAGATTTTTGAGGTGTGGATTTTTTCACATCCTTCCGGGCTGGTGGCTGCTTGGCAACATAATCTGTGAAGCAAACTCTGCCCATTCCAAAATATGGACTGCGCTTCAGTTCCTCCAGTTTGACCATGCTGTTTTCGTCCACACTTAGGAACAGAGTTTGTCCTTTCGGGCCAACCTCTGTCTCATGGTGGACTTTCCAGATCGCCGTGTTCAGCCCTGGGTTTTGTTTTGCCAAAATTTCCAAGATCTTCTTGGACTCTTTTGGCAGCCCTGGTATGTGAGTGACCATCCGTTTATACTTGATCGGGTTGTAGGCTTCCAAATGGAGTTCTGCACCGTCCCAAGGTTTTATCAAGTTGACATGGTCAGTGAGCCACTTAAGAGAGCTCTCTTGGGCTGCACTGATCACAAGTGCTCCATCAGTGAGTCTGGTGTCTTCAAACCTTGGTACGTCGGTTCCATCAGTACCCGACAGTATCAAGTCTCCAACACAAGACTCAATGAGTAGCCCCTGCTCTGTGGTCAACTTGTTAGTGGGGTAGCCTGCGAGGACCAGAGCCACTTTTTTATCATCGGTTACCACGTCCCTGTAGGTCTGTACCCAATGAGTTATCTTACATGGAGGTTCTTGACCCTTGTCCTCAGGTTTTTGAGCTTCGGTTCCCTTTGACTTTTTCAAGTCATCGGTTCCCTTGTCTCCCTCCTTTGGTAGGTTCTTCTGCCCCTCCATGTTTGCTCGGCTCCTCTTCAGCTTGCGCCACTGACTGCCGCTCAGTTTCTCAGGTCTAAGTTTTAGACCCTCGATTTTGTCAGCTACTGCTCCCAGTTGATCTTGCGATTCCTGGTCTACATTTGCTGACGTTGCTGTCTCTTTGCTAGTAGACGGTTCACCAAGTGTCCCGTTGTTGGCATTGAGACCTTCAAGTTCGGCGATTCTTCTGCGAAGAGTNAAATCGGCGATTCTACTGCGAAGAGTCGCCACTTCACGATCTTGTTCCGACAGGTTGTCCGTAGGATCCCTGATCGTCACAAGTTCGTTGTTTTGTGGTTTTTCTATTTTTTTATCCATAGAGTTCCCACGAGAAGTCGAGAAATAAAGGTCCGTCACAGCAGAGCTCGATACTGTGATAAGGCTGTATACTCTATGTTGCGCCAGGTGCCATAGAGGATCCCAATGGTAACTTACCTTTCGGCTAACTACCCTGTGACATGTTAGCAACCCTTTCACTTGGTATGGCTGGGTTAGGGGGGCCTATTCGCTGTTAGCAAGCAGGTATGCCCAGGCCTACCGGTCCCAACTAACCAAAGTCATGACCGGCTAAGAGCAGTGGTACGTGTTGCCACCCCCACTGAAATAACTAGGGTCCGCGGGGTTGTTAGGCCCGTAATNCTTAGTATAAAAAAATAATATTCTGAAAATTTAAAATTATTTGGAAAAATTTAAATCGAGGCGCACAACATTTTAAGGTTTTGACCTCGAATTTTCGAAGAATATTCTATAAAACGATAAAAAAAAACTTATATTAGAGATTTTCAAGTGATTTTTTCAATAAAAGTCAAGATACAAAAAAAAAAAA